ATGAGTATAGTTGTAGCTAGGTAGCTTGATGACAGAAGACCATCAAAATCTATTACACGCTTCTGATCAAGTACTACTAATGAACTTTTATATTTCTGATACACTAAACAATTTGTTTGCCAATAAAACTTTCCTTTTCCATACTATAGCAATTTCACAAATCATAAGGACAGTGATTAGCTTTTGTCAAAGTTTAAAATGGGAGAATTTCATATGCTACTCTTCTGCCAAAAGATATTTGAAAATCTATGTATTAAGCCACTTAGGATAAAACTTAGATGGAGTTTGTTTTTCTGTTCTTTTAATGTTGTTTCCAAGTTTCAATTCGGTAACCTATGATGACCTTTAATGAGGATCTTTATCATGTGAATTATTGACATAAAATTCTAAATCTAATTAAAAAACAACACCAAAAAAATATATAAAGAACTGCATCTGAGTTTTGTGTATTAGAATATGCAAAATGTACTTGCATTACAAGCCATAAGGTGCATGGTAGACGGCATTTTTATATATGTAATTGAAACGAGTGTGATTACCTCTTGCTGGAACTGCTTCATGCCCTGAGAAGCGTCAGGCCTTAAAATTTTGATTGCAACTGGGGTGTGATCGAGATGGCCTTTATACACAGGTCCATATCCACCTTCACCTATTTTGTTTGCTGAGGAGAAATTTTGTGTGGCTGTTTCAATCTCCTCTATGGTGTATTTTCTATAGCGTTTATCATTTTGAACCAATGCACATAATGCTCGATCCTTCTCTTCTGCCTCTCTCCTGGCCTGCATCTCTGCATCCAATCTTCTCTGTGCTTCCTTTTCAGCCCACTTCCTGGCTTCCTCAGCTGCTTCTATTGCAGCTTTGGCTTTAGCCTTCTCCTTTTCTGCCAGTGCAAGTGCTGCCTCTTGAGACAACCTAACTACCTCAACCTTACGTTCCTCTTCCACTTTCCATTGACGAATCTGTTCTGCCTGTTAACCCATCACGCATATTCTAGAGTCATTTCATGATTTTCATTTGATATGTATCCTTAAGAGTTAAAACAAGAACAAACATGACCTGGTTTTTGGCTGAGATTGCTTGCTTGCATGCTGAGCTGTACATGTCCATGGTTTGCTTCAGTTCTAGTTTCAATCTTTTCATCTCGGCTTCAATATCTTTCTGTGATGAAATAAAGACTATTGTTAGATTCTTATTCTCACCATCTTCATTTGCTCAAAGAAAATGGTTCTCGTTGCACAACAAACACAATTTAATTCACAATAATCCATTCTTTTGCACTTACTGAGGATTGGGGAGCTGATGATGTCCCAAGGGTATCTGATACATCAGGATCTTGTTTAGTCACATCTAATTGCCCAAGCCCTGTAATTTCTCTTGCATCCATTGACCAATGTCGTGGACGAGTGTTTATATCAATGTTGTCTATTGACATACTACTTCCCGCACTCCTTGGTCTCTCACGTGGCTGCATTCTCACTGGTCCTTGTGCCTCGTAAGTGTTCCTACTTCTAGGTGGTTGTCCCCTGTTTGAAACCAAACCAAAATGATTAAGAAATTAAAAACAAGTTGCACCATTTCACTCTTCAACTAAACACATAGATATATAAATAACTTTCTTTCACTGCAGTCACCTTAATGGTCCATCACATTCTGATTCACTAGATGGAATTGCCTGCGCAGGAAGTTGTTTCGGTGCAGGGAAAAAACCTTTTGCAATCGGTCGTACAGCTGATCGAGCTGACACAATCTTCAATTTGGAAATTATGTACACAGAGCAGTAATCTGGGGCTGATTTGATCATGGCTGTTGGTATATCCTGATACTGGTAGGCTTTAAATTTTTTGAGACTGCCACAAAATTGCGGAACATTAATTATATTCGTTACACAAAATATATGGTATTATATATAGATATATATCCTCATAATCAACTAACGAGTGGTTGGTTCGAGATGATTTCTTTAAATAAGTTCTTGTGTTTGAATTTCGTATACGAAAAGAAAGTGATTAGAAGAAGAGCTCCACCTTTAGTGGCCGAACAAATTTTCTAAGAAAAATTATTTAAGGACAAGAACGATGAATATTATTTGGTACCTTGCCAAGGGGCTTTTGATGGATGCACCGAGGACGATACTATGAATGACATTCCTGTTTACAAAATCCATAAGTCCTCTGACAACATCATTATCATCGATTACAGCCTCTTTCATGGTGACCTAAATGGGGCAAAAAAACTAGTGAGTGCAAGTTTGAAGTACGTAACTGAAAATTGAGGAAATGAATGCGTACAGCTTTGCGAGTACACATTCCACGTAAGTTGTTGAAAATAGTGGCGACATCCTCCTCGTCGGGTGGAAAAACGTTGGTGACATCTGCATGCATGAAAGATATATATATAACGAATAAGAAAATAGAAAAGATGGAGAAAGTAAAAGAGGGTACCTACGATGAGAAAAGTTTTTGTGTTTGACATGGACGGCGATGATGACGGGGTTGTCGAGGTGGTTAACGGCCCAACGGAAGGCATGGGCACTGTTCTTGTCTTTGTCAACAGCCACCATAGTGATGTTCAACGGTGGGGCTGCGGATGGCTGTTGAACAGACATGGTTAGCGTGGGTGTGCCAGCAGCGGTTGGGTCCGTAGTTCCACCACAAACGATGTTGAGGAAGAAGACAACCTCTGAAGATCGAAGCAGAACACCCTATCCAAATTGACGTACAAAACGGACGCAACTAACCTTTCCCACCCACCGTTCGTTTTTCTTTAATTTAGGCTTCACGTTCACCAAGCCTTGACCAATCCCAAAACACCTGGGTTTTTGCGCCTTCTTTCATTCCAAATTATTAACAATATGTCAAACATTATAATTAAATTAACCCTAAGTTTATATTTAATACAAAAATAAGAAGTCGCGTGTTTTCACAATTGAAATAAAAACTTTACTCACTCTCCAACAAATATATCTTCACTTAATATGATGTGCAATGTGAATCAAACATGATATGAATTCAAAAAGACTTAGTGAAGACAATTTTCTTTTTAAAAATAAAAATCAATAATAATCACCATCATATATAGAAAGAGCAAAATATAAATGTTGCCAACCATGATCAGTAGATTTGATATATAAAATTAGGAAGTGTAATAATATACAATATATTTAAACATAAATGTATATCAATACTAGTTGTTTGATGAGTTACTTGGTCATTCATAGCTTTGTGTGTTCAATATAGTCATCCGAACATCTTTTTTATTATCATTTTTATTATTATTCATGGTTTAATTATTTTTTTTCACTATATTTTCACAATTTTTACTTTTTATTCTCTAAAATTGAAATTTTTTCTCCTTTTAGCCTTCATAATTGCATAAACCTTTCTTTTTAATTCATATAGTTGCATAAATTTCATCTTTTAATTCTTATATAGTTGTATAAACTTTTCATTTAAATTCATACGAAAATAGACAATGTAAGTTAAAAGAGAATAAAGAAGAAGAAAAATACGTATAAAAATTAAATAAAATATTTTTAATTATAAAAATTAAAAGATAAGTTTTTTGAAATTATATAGATTAGAATTTAGAACAGTAATTAAACCATTATTCATTTATATATTGATATATTATTTTACTCAATTATATCTGGTGAAACACAGCCGACATTTTATTGTCTGACGGTCATAAAATGATTTTTAAAACATAAAATAAGCATTATTTTTTTCATATCGTGGACATTTTAATTTATTCCCAAATAATATAAAATTATTCCTAAAACATAGCATAAAGACTTTTTTAAATGTTGACAAATCAGTTGTCAATAGTTATAAAATGGTTCCTAAAGCATCAAATAGGCAACAATATTCATATCGTTGAGAACTGCAAACTGCTCTCAGAATGTAGCATTTGAATAGAATCAAAAGCAACAAACTAGTACATATATATACTAGGATGAAAGGCAAATTAAGAATAGGTTGACAAATCAATCCCTTGTTGTATGTGATGATAACGTGACTTGATTTATACAAGGCCAATTGTTTTGATGACTCGGAATTGAACATGCATATATATATATATGCGTAGTTATCAGGTAAAAGCTCAATTGCAACAGTCCCACGAGTAACACGTTTTGATCAGGATTTATGAAATTTGTTTGCAAGCTGCCCCTCAGGTAGTGGAACTGACCCAACTTGTTCCAATCCCAATTCCATGATTGTCGACAACTAAAGTCACATGATGATAAGAGTAGGCTTGTTACACTTTTTCATTAAAAAAAATAATCCTTTTTAAAAACTGGACCCTCTCAAACTTGAAGTCAATCAACGAATAATCCACCGAATTATTTCATTCATTCTTAAGTCACTTTGTGTTTACACGTTTGAGGCTGAAGGGCTATAAATCCTCCTGACTTTAGCCAACCACGACTATAGACTATAGAGAAAATACTGAGTTAGTCAACGTATATTTTTAATTTTATTTTAACTATATATATTATTAAAGATATATAGTTATCATATATCGTTATGAGAGATAAAACATTATTATACTACAACAAAAGTAGTTTTTGATAATATTTAAAAAATATTATCTAATTTTGTATAAATTAATATTTTTAATTTACTTTTATAACATATTAGTAAATGTTGTATATAGTCTATGTTTAAAAATTTAATAATATTTTTACATAATTAGATAATATTTTTTAATATTATTAAAATATTATTTTTGTAACATTTTAATGATGTTAAATTTTTATTAACTTTATAAAATAATAATTAGCTTTAATGTTATGTTACTAGCAATTATACTTTATAATTTTTAGTCTCTTATAAATTTTTTAAGCTAAGGTTAAAAATATTCTTAATTAATCATTACTAATTATATATCAAATATCAAAGTTTATTTATCTTAAGTATAATTATATAATTATATATACTCTTTATGTGACATTTATTTATTCAATGTGAAACTTTAATTATATATGATAAAAAATTAAAGATGAGAGAAGTATGCTTTTTATGTAATATTTTTTTTTATTTGATGTGGAACTCTAATTTTGAAAACAACTAGAAAAAATAATATTAAGATAAAAAATATTATGTATCTATAATAATATTTTTTTTTAAATGTTACAAGATAATTTATGTGACATTTTTTTGAGATTTAGACATTTTTTCACTTACTATGAGATTTTGATTTTGAAAATATTTAGAAAGAATAATATTAAGATAAAAAACAATATTACTCTATTTATAATAACATTTTTAAAAAAATATGTTATAAAATAATTTATTTATTCAGTAACATTTTAATAAATATAAATAGATAAATTGTTGTTTAAAAAAATAAAATGTAGTAGTGTTCAAGATAACAATAAAGAGATAATTTAAGTAACAAATAATCATTCCCGATAAAAGGGGGAAAAGATAGACAACCGAATCAAGCATATAAATAGGTCGCAAATGGCTTAAAATTAAACGATGGTCATCATATATACTTGTTAAGTAGCAAATATATATATATAGGCAAGCAATACTCATATAACCCATAAATATAGGTGGTTGAATTTGAATTTTATCGAATACCTTGGTAAGGAATAGAATAAAACTTATTTTCTATACAAAGTCAATGACGTAACGTCAAAGTATATATATATATAATTAAATAGTATATAAGAGAGTAATAACTATCACCTTATAAGTTAATTTATAAGGTTCAGTTAGACTCTTAATTCACTATAATAAATTACCTTATAAATCTCACATCTCTTAAGAGATAAGACAATTTTATTATTATTATTATTATTATATTGAAAGGAATAAAATATGCTTTATTAATTAGTTTAAACAAACTGCACTTTTGATAAAAAGTTTTTGAAGCATGTTGTCAAGAAAGTGTTAACAAAATACATTCTAATACATTTCTTTTAACACACTCATTTATATTAGTTAAACATTATTGAAAACTATAAAATAAGAAAAGAGATAATTATTAAATATAGTGTAAGATCTATCAAATTTTGTATTTTTTCAATAAATTTTAATCTATTATAGATAGTATGTTTAAATAAATATGTTGTTAGTATTTCTCATTGTTACATAGCAAACACAATGAGTACTAGCAACACATTCTTTAACCCACTTTTTTTAATACACTCTCTTTTATTAGTTTGAATTTATTAAAAATCACAAAATCAGAAGAAAAAAAAGTCATTAAATAAGTGTTACCAACTTTTTTATTATATTTTTTAATAGATTTCAACATAGTAGAAAAAATGTGTTCAAAAGAGTGATCCTACTATTTTTCCTACCAAACACTTGGTGTATCTTTTGATATCAATTTAAAATCACATTTAATAGAAAAACACAAAAAAGTAAAAACTTATGAGTGTATTTTTTTTCTTCCAATCCTAATTAAGTTTAATTTAACTGATTTTCAAACACACACTTAGCTTTCATTTATAGCTTTCATTTATGTAAGAGAAATTCTACTAACACATTTTTCAATGCATATTCTCAATTTGTTTGAAGTCTTTTAAAAAATACAAAATTTAGTGAGTCCTGTGCCTTGTTTAATGTTTCTACTAATTATTTTGTAGTTTTTTATACTACGTCTATTCCTTTTTAGCTGTCGATTTTTTTTAGAAAAAATGTTTCTATTTATTTGTCATTTTCAAACTTCTTGATTAATTATACTCTTATATTCCACTTAACTTTTAATTGATTTGCACTTAAAACTAACATGTATTTATTATTAAAAAAGAATAAAAATATTATATTTTAATCGATAATAATTAATGTGTTAAAGGTAAATGGTGCTCGTTTAATAATAATACTCCGTATAGCTGCTATTGTCCGCGTGTTAACACCTGACTGTGGAATTAACTTAGCCACCACGGGACCACCTGTTGTATGCAACAAAGCATTCACTATAGTGCTAATTAATCAGATCCTAAACTGATAATTGTTTATTTACTGTTTCAGCTACGTTTTATATATGTTAACCCAGCCACTAATATTTGTTTTAAGGCCTTGTAGTTTAAGTAATGCTAGCTATAGGTAAGGTACAACTAATTCAGACAGTATAGAGTAATCTGGAAGGCTTATCTCATATGAAAATTCAGATCAAATTAATATTTTCGGAAGGACTTCACTACAACAAAAATTGTTTTTAACAACAATTGTTTAATGACAATAATTTAATTACCGCTATTTAATTATATAATAAAAATATTAATGGTTAATATATAATAGCCACTAAAAGTGTATTTATATTACACTAAAGTTTATTATTAACGATAATTATTTATTGAAAAAAACTAGTCCCACATCGATTAGAGATAAAATAATTAAATAGTATATAAGAGAGTAATAACTATCACCTTATAAGTTAATTTATAAGGTTCAGTTAGACTCTTAATTCACTATAATAAATTACCTTATAAATCTCACATCTCTTAAGAGATAAGACAATTAAAAAATATATAAATAGAAGACAACTCTCATCTTACAAATCTTACATCGACTAAAGATAAAAAAAAGAGTATATAAGTTATGAATTTAGAAAAGAAAATTATCGATATAAAATTTTGAACCATCCTATATATATATATATTCCTCTTGTTGAACTTGCACAAGCTATAATTTATTTATTCATTAATTATCGTGATTGCTTTTGGCCGCTACATAAAGTGCAGAAAAACACAATATATAGGGGTCAAGTAATAAACTAAAACGCA